CAGTCAAGTGCCTTAGCCACTATGCTACCAGAGCTCCCATAGATGACTTTTAATCCACATGTATTTTGAACTTGTGATCCATAGTGAATTGAATTACCTGTATGAAAGTGTCTAATCAGTTCATCTTGTTTTGAAGATTTCTGAGGTGCATGAAGTGGTTAAAAAATGTTGATATATGAAAATGAAATGCTTATTCACTACTTTAAAATTATTTAGAAATAATGTGGCTTAAAATTGGAAATACATTTTTTATAGTTTCTATGAGCTAAATAAATAAGATTTAGAGTAAGTGGAAAGAGAATTTCTCATGGTTCTTTATATGTGATAAAGAAATAAAAATAAAAGTTAAAAACTATAAAACTAGTTCGGGTCATTTATAATCTTTATATAAAAATTACATAACTAAAGTGGCAAAAATATATATATAAGGTTTTCCTATTCTGAATCAGTTTGACTCAGAACACATGACATGTGAATCAGCACTCTGTCAACATTCACTTCTAAGGAACATTCTCGCTGTGCTTTTTCCAAGGCAGGTTTGTTCATTCTTCTGGGCAGTCTATGTTATAGGCAATATTTTTTGCCAACACTATAGGTCATATGCATCAATTCTCTTTCAGTCTTCCTTATTCGTTGTCCAGTTTTGCATATATATGGGGGAATTGAGAATACCATGACTTGGGTAGGAGCTCTGGTGGCATAGTGCCTAAAACACTTGACTGCTAACCAGAAGACTGGTGGTTCAAACCCACCAGCCACTCCTCGGAAGAAAGACTGGGCAATCTACTTCCACAGAGACATTGCCTCGGAAACCCAAGGAGGAGTCTCTGTGAGTTGCAATTGACTCGATGGCAGTGAGTTTGGTGTTTTGGTTTGGTTTTGGGTCAGGTACACCTTAGTCTTCAAAGTGACATTTTTGTTGTTTAAAACTTTAAAGTAGTCTTTTGAGGCAGATTTGCCCAATGTAGCACACCATTTGATTTCTTGATTTCTGCTTCTGTGGACATTAATTTATAGCCTGACTTTAAACTATAACCATCATATTTAATGAAGACAGAAGACCTCTTTTGATAGTCTTCTTCATTAGTCTGTAATGCCATTAATAATATTGCTGTTGCTCAAGTACATGTGAGTGTAAGGTACAGTAGGAATTTATGATTTTAAAATAGCATGTGTTGATCGTGGTGTTCCTTTTATAGACCGTTACCCTAGCAGGGCACTGGATAAAATGTTCAGCGGCTAACCATAGGGACAGCAGTTTGAAGCCACCAGCCATTCCAGGGAAAGATATGGCAGTCTGTGTCTGTAAAGATCTACAGCCTTGGAAAACCTACAGAGTAGTTCTGCTCTGTCCTGTAGTAGGAATCGACTCAGTGGTAATGGACTGGTTTATGTGGTTTTACCCACTAATACATGTTGAACTTGTCAGAGCTTTTCCCAAATTGATAGTCTATAGAATACTGATCTTCCAGAAGCTAATGGGAGCATGGCAAACAAAAATGTTCCATGCTCAAACAATTACTATGAACATTGGGTCAAAGAGTTTGTTATCCTTTAATATATTCATGTGCATTATTAATCTATAAAAAGTTATAATACATTATTTCTCATATTTATTTGGTTGTATTATACCTATTAACATGAACCATGGAACAGTAGATAGCTTTAGAATTCCAAGTTCATCACCAAGGTATATTGGAAGGATGGAGGGATAAGTAAATTTCACCAGCAGTCCATGGAACTACTGTATACACTTTGATACACTGAAATTGTGTTCTTAATTATATAAACAATATATTAAATTATTTTAATACTAATTACAAATTTTATAGAAATATTAGCAAATTACCTTGCCCAGTTTACTTTTGTGGTTAATCATTAATATTTTCCAAGATGAGAGGCCAACATTGTGAATACATAAGCCATTAGTAGTGAAAGAGATCAAAGGTATTATAAAAATCCCACACTCAATCCTGACTTCATGAGTGAAGTGCTCTAACAACCTATAAACTATAATTTGGAAACCAGTGCATCATACCTGTTGAAATCTTTAGTATCCTTGAAATCACTAATGCCTTGAATCTCTGCTTTATTCACTTTCATGCATTTGACGACCTGATTCTGTTAGCACTTTTCAATGCTATTTGATAATTTATCTTTTTATTTTTAAAATAACATTTTATTTTATTTTCAGTGAGAGTTTACACAGCAAATGAGTTGCCCATTTAACAATTTCTCTACAAATTATTCAGTGACATTAGTTAAATTTTTCAGTGTGTCAACGTTCTCATTCTTTTCTAGCTGTTCCATTTCCACTAATCAAGTTTCCCTTCCCACTTACCATCTCATCTTTATTTTAGGATAACTGTTGACTAAACAAACAAACAAACAAAAAACCTCACTGCCATCAAGTTGGATCCTACTCATAGCGACCCCTCCTTGGGTTTCCAAGGCGGTATCACTACGGAAGTAGATTGCCTGATCTTCTTTCCAAGGAGTGGCTGGTGGGTTTAAACTGCCAGCCTTCTGGTTAACAGTCAGTTGTTAAGAGTCAACGCACACACACACACACACACACAATTTTTCTACAACCTTCCTATCATTCCCTAAAGATTGAACAATTGTTTTATCAACAGTATCTGTGATCTTGGTTTGCCTTATTACTATAAAGGAGCTTTTTGCCAAATTAGATATATTAGATGTATTAGATCAAGAAGCGTTTATGTTCTTACAACTTAGAAAAGAGAATTGTAAATATCTTTAAGGAAAGTCGGTTCTTACATTGTTTCTATTTTCTGTTGCCTAAGGCACTTGACTGCTAACCAGAAGGCTGGAGGTTCAAACCCACCAGCTACTCCCTGGAAGGAAGGTTGGGCAATCTACTTCCATAGTGATACTGCCTCGGAAACCCAAGGAGATGTCACTAGGAGTTGAGTCTGACTCAATGGCAGATAACAACAACAATGTCATTCAGGCTTGTTTGTACCCAGAATTTACAGTCTCTAGTTAAGATTAATTTAATTACAAAATGCGTAGAAAATAGTCAGTAAATGTTTTATTAAATGATGTAATAAATGGATCTCAGTCAGTGGCTACCCATGGAAATGTTTTTTAGTATGTATCTTCTAAGGAAAACATCAGAAATAGTAATATAAATGCATTTGTTAGTCCTTTCACTTGATTTTATCCTGTAGGATAATGTATCCTAAATGAAGTACTGATAATATGACTTTGGCTATTATATGTCAAATGGGACTTGATGAATATAAGCCAAACTATGGCTAAACTGGTTTTTATTCGTGTATTATGAAGAAAATATCTTGTTTATTCTTTTTCAGTATAATTTCTTTGAGCTATCCAACTTTCACCTGATTATTTCAGCAGTTCTTGCAGTAAATTAGGGGAAAAGTTATGTATATGTATATATACATATATATATATGTGTGTGTGTATATATATATATATATATATATATATATATATATACACACACTATGTATATAGTGTTAGACTGGGTTCTCTAGAGAAACAAAAACCAGCAAAGCTTTTATATATATAAAGAGAGAGAGAAATTCATCTTAGGAAAATGGCTCACAAACATATAGAAGCCAGCAAGTCCAAAGTCCCTGGAGCAAATGTCAGGCTGGAGATTTTTCCTAGCTTCCGCAACTGCAGGGGCTGAGAAGCTCAAGGCTGGCAGGCAGTACACTGGCTGTTGACTCCAATGAATGACGCATCCAAGATCTCCAGGCTGAACGGTGGACCGCTTACTCACGGACAGTTGTAGGAAGCACAACAGAATCCCGATCCACAGAAGAATGTCTCTCTTTCCAGGATGTCCCTGGATATCCTGGAAGCAGGCCACACCCTTAGGGAAACTCCCCTTGAACAGATTGGCCACTTAGAACACAGTCATCCGATCCCACATGGAAACAACCAAACAGAACTGGGGTCCAGCCAAATTGACACACAGCTCCAACTATCACATATACACACACACACACACACACACACACGTAATGTAAATAGAAGATGTATATATCTGATATTTACATATTCATAAAATTTTATTTACCATTCTTGAAGGAATAAGGAACAATAGTTTCTAGGATAAAATTTACCCATCAATCTTAATTTGATTGCAGCATCCCCAAAATATGACTTTATGGATAAACTGCATTTTAAAAGAATTATTATAAATAATGTATATATTACAGTGATTTATCAAATCTGTAATTTATACTTCAATACTTTTACAATAATTATATAAGCACTTTAGTATTAAATATATTAAGTTAGAAGTGTAAAATTAAAGCATCTATAAACCTATTTTCCTGTGTTGATGTGGTTGTTGTTAGGTGCCATCAAGTTGGCACTGACTCATAGTGACTCTGTGCATAACAGAATGAACCACTGCCTGGTCCTGTGCCAGCCTCATAATCCTTGCTATACCCGAGCCCATTGTTGCAACCAGTGTGTCAGTCCATCTTATGGAGGGCCTTCCCCTTTTTTGTTGATCCTCCACTTTACCAAACATGATATACTTCTCCAGGGAATAGTCCCTTCTAACAACATGACCAAAGTAGGTGAGACGAAGTCTGCCATTCTTATTTCCAAGGAGCATTTTGACTGTATTTCTTGCAAGATAAATTTCTTCCTTCTTCTGGCAC